TTTTGGATGCTTCTGCTTAGCGATATCACCACTAAATCCATTTTTCGTCCATCACATGGCTAGAGTTACATTTAATGTATGTCCTTGTTGTAAAAAGTCATAGAACCCATTAAAAATATCTGTTGGTTCCTGGTGGTTTTCAGTAGTCGCTAATGGTATTCTGTGTTTCCCTGATGGGTTGATATCACAGTGTAAAGGATTCAAATAATTTCATCAGGTGTTCTGGGACTGATTCCAGATACATTTGTTTGTTTCCTAATGGTCTTATACGGCAGTTATCAAGTCAATTACCATTAGGAAACAAAACCATCACGTTTTATTCCTAACGGTTCACAGTCTTCAGCATTGCACTCATGAGTTTCAGCCATAGCCTGTGCAAATAAACCCAACATTCATGTTTTATCGTTGTCATAGGGTTAAGTTTCCATATTTAATTACCTTGTTATCAGTATGACAACGTTAATATACGTTCAGTGTAACTCTTGTTGCGGAACAGTACGTGGTGCGCTGTTTTTCCTCATAAAACACAAAAAACACTGCTGTTGCAGAGCGTGCACTGATGTCATTAATAGGCTGGCAGTGCACGTCTGGCTGTGCGTGCATGTCTGCAGCCAGACTCTATTGTAACATTCTGCCATTTATTTCCACTGTGAAAATAAAAACTTTTGGTTTGAACAATCGCTGTACAAAAAATGTACTTTAGTCTGATTAACAGTTTTATATAAATACTTTGCGTATTGAATAAACATGCAAAGGTGTACTCTATACTGTAACCTTATATGCCACTGATTGGCGTATGAATTTGCCATGTATATGCTAGTATAAAACTGCTAATGTCTTCTCTGTTCTTTCCCTACATGCTGATTACAACCACTGTGTTTTACAGGTGGATCCACAATGGGGCTGCTGATGTCCTTACTAAGGGCTCCTCCTGGCAGCTCCCACTTGGGAAAGATGTGTAATACCTGCAGCGGGATGGCTTTCAGTTATGGCTGTGGTCACTGGGTGATGGCTTGCTGATGAACTGTGAGCTGGCACTCCTGGAGACAATTCGGCATGCAAGTGCCTTGTCGGCGCAGGCCGTATGCCTGTCACTGGTAATGTGTTATGAAAGGCCAGCTGCTAATCGGTGCAACCTGGTGCAGTGTTCAGACTTTGAGGTGGCTTCTACAGAACCTGTGTTCCATCCACACTTAAAATGTATGTGGTTACTATTTCTGCGTATCACAGGTGTGTGTGGGTGATCCCTAAGTGAACACAAGTAGATCTTTCCCTTCGTTTTTCCTTATCCTTCCAGCTTCAGTCCACCCACTCGCCTAAGAGTCCACTGTGGGATCTGTTTTTGGTGTTTGAATTTTTTGTGCAGTGCTGCGGTCACAAGAGAATAAAACTCTCTATGTGACATCCATCAGAACACTTCTGAAAAATACGGACAGAGTCTACAGAGAAATCTGTTGTATTGAGCAACTTCTTCTTGCTGTTTTGTTTCATTTTGTGGCTATATTTTACACCGTAACAGTGAAGGCAGTGACTGACAAACACAACAGCTCAGGCACTTTGTGTCTGTTTAACTTCTAGTATCACCTTTACTTTTTCTTTGATAAGATAAAGTTATGTTTTAATTTATTTGTCATTTCACTGACAAATAAATTACACATGAAGGCCTTTTGTCATATTCTGTAGTGATTGCCACATAAAATTTTATTCTCTTTTGCATTTAGTATTTATTTGGCAAATGTTTTTCCGTGAAAATGTAAAACATTTTAGTTTACTGGCAAGAAAATTATTTCCCTCAAGCAAACTTTTTATTCAATATTTTCAATTAAAATTAAGCCGTTTTAATCAATATGTGAGATTTGCATAAAAATACACGAATGTTTAAATGTCTTGAATTACTTGTCATATTAGTAATCACTTGTATTTTCTTCAATAATAATGTCACTATAGTGCAAAAAACCTTTTATCACCAATTCTGTCTTTTTTCATTTTGTTTCCATAATTTCAAAAGTCACGTTTGGTAACTTGAAAGTTAGGTTTTGTAAAGATGTTTTAGTCAATGTTTCAAGCTTTTTGGGAACACTACATTTTAATCATCAAGTTATAGTAACTGCCTGATATGTTACCTGACTGGGATTTGATTACCATCTTTTAAATATAAGGCATTCTACATGCAATTTTAGTGTAACTTTATTTTGCAATGTTATACAGCTTTCTAAATTATTATGGAATCATCTACAGCTCTGTTCATCATTCTAGTTCATCTAAAACATCTTCAATTTTTACAGTTCCTACTAATTAGTTAAAATATATTAAGTTGTAGAGTAGTAGCATCATAATATAATAACTACTTTATAGGTTTTTCAACATTTTTGTTTATTTTACTCAAGTTTTGAGCACCAGTGTACGCAGATGGCAACCTGACTACTATCATCATGTACTGTACCAGCAGCTCTCCCTTATGGTAACCTAAATAAAACCAGTGTATTGAACAGGATTGAGCAGGATGCTTGATTTTCTTTATTATGCGAGTCCAGTATTATGCCAAACATTACTTTGTCTTGCCTGCTGACATGTAAATGTGTCAATCAGACTAATTATTTGTTTGCTTTGGTGGCAGGAATGGAGGGGTTCCTCTGTTAAAATAGAGGTTTTTGCTCACAGAAGATACTCTATCATCGTTTTGCAGATTCTCCTGGTTCCATAAAGTCAGTTGGCCTCCTCTTAGTGTGGCTCTGCAGTGCTACCTGGGGCAGCTTCACTTTAGACGAGCCCCATTTCCTGTGACTTTGTTGGTGTTAGTTATCCACTGTGATTTATGCTGCTCATGGCATTCAGAAGGAATCAAATGGAATGCGTGCCACAAATTAACTTTGGTTCTGTGGGTTCCGGATGACTGAGCTGTCAGTCATTCACAATTTGTGAGAAGACTCTTGAAGGATGTCTTCTGGGTGTGCATGATATTTATATTCCAAAACATCACGTCAGTGAATGAGTTTTGTTCATCTTTGCACTATTTTGCTACTATATAAATGTATAAAAGAAAGGTTTTGTTAATTTCTATGTAAAATAAGATATACATATGCCATTTTTCTGCAGATTTTAGGATTTTGCAGAGTTTAACATATTGTGAAAAGAGCCTAGAACCTAGTGCCTGTACTATGCACTTGCAAATGCTGCAAATTTTTTATGTTGAGTTTGGGACATATTGGGACAAAATAAAACATACATAAGACACATGAGATTACATGTTTTAAATGCTTTAGCCAATCAAACAGGATTCTGAGAGTGATTCTGCACTGTATGGATTTCATGTTACAACATACTGACAAATTGATCTGCATTCACATACACAAGCATACAAAAGCCTGAAATCACAATTAAAATAAAATGTTGCAGATAAATGTATGAAATGATTCTACTATGATGCTTCGAATCTACAATTTCTCTTATTTCATCTCATTAATATGAAACTTTGAAGAAGGAAGACATTTCTGTTTAATCCAGAATGATGTGCAGAGTTGTAGATGATTCCTTAAAAGAATCTTTAGGCAAAAGATCTACACACTTACAAAAGAAAACAGCAGTGTGTAATTTACCCAAACTTCCATTTACCCCAGACGTAGCTGACATGTTTGGTGTCCAAATGTAGTTTCTTTTAGTTAATAACTAGAGCTGCAAAGCTAATTTTGCTCACAAGCACTTGAGATCAATAGTCACCCAAGTCTTTAACGTAAATCCCACTCAAACCACATTCATTTCTTCATTAAGGCCGCACAGGCTTATCCATGTGGTTTTAGGGCAGAGTATGGCTGAAAAATGAACAAACCTCGCTGTGTAGCTGAACACTGTGGACAGCCTTTTTTAGACAACTGGGGCTGTATTCACAAACCACCTCAGGAGTACAAGAGTTAATCTACAGCCAGTTTTTGTGTGATAAACACAAAGCAATTTGATCCAAGATGAGTCCTGCTTTGTGAATACCAGCCCTGGTGTTGTTGAAAATGGCTGCCCGTAGCGATGACATTTTGTTCATGACTCAAAGTGAGTCATACTGTGCCCTAAACCACTGTGTGATCTTAATGAAAACCTGGATGTTTGAGCAGGTTGAGAGAAGGTTTGAGAATGCATTTATGGAAAAGGTTTGGGTGACTATTGACTTCTATTGTTTGTTAACAACATTAGCCTTCTAAAATAAATAAGCAATTTTTTTTAAACAAGCAGATACCCTATTGAGAAACTAGATAACTACATAAAAATAGATAATTACAGTAAAATATTTATTAACTTTTTGGTGTTCCCAGAAAAATTTGAAACAATAAATAAAGCATCGTAAAATACCTTCTTATATTATTTCAAGATACTATGTTTAACCTCTGAACCATCCAGGCGTATTTTATACAAAGGCCTATTATTCAGTAACTACAGGGACTTCAGTGCAAAGTAATAGAGCTATTCTTAGGTTATAGAAGTGTACAAAAACCAGCCCAATACATACAGCTTAATAGCCACATTTTAGTCTTTTTGTGTTGTTTGGGTTGCTGGAAATCATTTTCTTCCTGATTTCTATCGCAGCATTTTTGCCTTCACAAATCACATTTCCAATCACATTTCAGCACGGCCATTTTGCACGGTCAGGTGTTGACTTTGACCTTTGATTTAGACTTTTGTTATTGATACTCAGCATACACATCGAATAGGCTTACATCTATTGATTTCTGTCATATTTATCGCTGCAAAACATCCGGACCAGGTTTCAAAATTCCTCAGCTATGGTAGTCCAGCTTTATCATTCTGTGTAACAGAATAGCAGCTGATATGGTAGTGTGAAGGTGGATATATGTAAGGAACTGTTGTTGGAGAGGTCCTCAGCTGGTATTAGTACTTAATGAGAGAGAGATAGAGCAAGGGATAGGAAGAGGGGTAAGGGAACAAGAGGTAGAAGGTTGAAGGAGAAGATGTAAGAGTCCTTTGCATAGTCACACAGCAGTAATTTCACCTACCTCAAACCACTGTCCATGGGACTGCATCTTAAGGACCACACAGGGGTCTGGTTTGGACAGCGCATCCCTGTCTGAGATTCCTTTGCAGGCTACACGCAGCTCCACTTTGGTCAGGCAGGGGCTGTTGACGAGCCCCAGCGTGGTGGCTGCGGACTCGTAGATGTTACTCATTTTGAGCTGTGCTCAAGCTGGGAAACGGAGGACAAAATATTAGGTGCGTGAGTGAAACAAGTGTTACTAGATGATTTGTCGTCTGTACTAGTATACTGTAATATATCTTTTCGGATTTAGTGCTATTTTTAGCAATATTCAGACCTGTGCAAAAGTCAAAGACCACCCTTCATTATTTAATTGCCAGTTAAAATTATAGCCATTGAATAGAAGTTATTGATTTTTCAGAAGAGTTTTCAGAGGATACTGAATATAAGATAATTCACTTGCATAAAGAAAGAAAGAAATATAGAAAGAAAGAAAGAGAAAGTGATTGTTTTAAGAAAAAGATACAAAGAAATGAGACTCAACAAATGATGCACCTATAGCTTTTATCTTTAAGACAGAGAAGAAAATCAAGCACCACTCTTGCTTCAAAACTGAACAAAATCCACAAGTGTTATATACATACACGCATTTATAAACATCCAGACATATATACATATATACACACATATGCAGTTATCTGCAAAAGTTTGGGCACCCCATGTCAAATAACATGTTTTTTTTTTATTTTCTAAGTAAAAGTAAGTTTACACATATGGCATTTCCTGCAGATTTTAGTGCACAATAGCCTGAAATTAAGTATTAAGTGAGAATAAGTTAAGACATCCTCTACATAAAACACTTTTCTGCACATTTGCACAATTTACTGTTTATTTGCTCAATTTAATATATTGGGGACCAAAAAAAACATAAAACATAAAATATAGTCTATGCAAAAAATACAACATATTTTATATTTCATGTGTTATTTATTTCCAATGTGCTAAACTCAGCAAATAAACAGAAACTGCACACTAAAATCAGCAGAAAAAGCCATATTTAAGGTCCCTGTACAGGATGTTTTAACCTATTTTCACTTAGAAAATAAACAAAACATGTAAAAGAGGTGTTTAGTTTTTGATGTAATCTTCTTTTAGAAGTATGTTTTCGGCTTTTCTTCATGTCACTGAAAAATAAATAGTTTGGACATAATGACTGTTTTGATGATATTGTTTACAGGGAAGGAAGGGTGGTCTCTGACTGTTGAACCCTAATGTATTTAATAAAAAAAAAAAAAATTATGTTTATTATTATATTATGTTTGTTTGTTTGTTTGTCTATTTATTTATTCATTTTCATTTTGTGCATTTTACAGTATTCAGACACTGACAGTTAATTGTGTATGTAATATGGCGGACGCTTCAGTATTCACTGATAAATTAAATAAATAAAAAGTTTCCTTTGTGGGAATCTGTTTTCTGTCTGATTAACGTTTACATTACTGCACAAGATTCACTTTGATTCATACGTTCATAAAACTGCCTATCAGAACCAATTATGTCAGGTTTTTAAGCTATTCTTGATATTGAACTGTATCAATACCACCCAGCACTGGTCACATGCAGTGAGTAACAAATAGGGGAAACCTGAGACGAACAGAGGGAGCAAGTATAAAATATTCTTATTATAACTAAACACCCTTAGGACCACTAGCCAGTGGCTACATATTGGCTACATCTCATAACATCTCATGCACAGACTGCAGGTCTTCTGTAGCCACCGAGCGGTGTTCCTCTTTAACGGATAAATCCATAAGACTGTACTGAGATATTCCTCTGTACACAGCCAGTCTCCAGACTGTGAAGGCAGCATGCAGAATGAGCGCAGAGCGGTCCCGGTGGAGCCTCTTTCCTGGGAACACAGCTCGAAGACCTGACCCGAATACACTACAGCAGTGAACGTGTATCTCTCTGCGTCGCTCAATTATTCATGCCTTTCGAGCGTTCATGAGGGGGAGGCTGGACTTTTTTGGGTATTTTTAGATGAAGTGCCCGTTACAGTTTTGCCATGGGGGCACCGGCGAGCCCTTTTCATTTAGGAATGAGAGTTTCTCACCTCCCTTGCGTTCATTTCACGCATCTGGCGCTCGCTCGCGCTCCCGCCCACTCACACTAATCGAAGGTGTCACGCGCGTGAGCGGCGTTATTTTTTTTCTCCACCCGTTTTACGACAATCCCCGCCCCCCTGCGTTACCACTGGCTAGTATTATCTCACATCCTGCACTGGGATTGGCCAGTAGTTCACATTCAACGGGGAGAACAGCCTCCTGACCAATCATAGTGCAGGAGGCGGGGCTTATCGGAAAACAGGCGGGAAAAAACAACGCGCGTGAACCTCCAGCCAGGTGTTGAGTAGAACGGGGGAACCGAGAGAGAGAGAGGGTCTTTCTGCGGTGAGGAAAGTTAAAGGCTACTTTACTCTTCATTTGAGGTACATAAAAGGTCGCCGAGGTGGGAGCCCACCTTAGTAATTCACCCAGTTATCAAAGTAAACTCAGCAGAGCTCAGTGTTTACAGACGTCCACACTGTAAGAGCTCACTCAGCGCTGAGGCTGCTCGCTTTACTGCGAAACCCGAAAAGCTAACGTCGAAGATGAGACGCGAAGGAAATTTCTACATACAAATGAAACGGTAAAACTGCAAAATTATAAATGAACAATATACATACGAACCCTAAACTCTCCTTATATGGTAGTGAATGAGAAAGAGAAAGGCTACATAAAGAGATTTTGGTGAGGTACCAATGTCTAAAGCCAATATATGACCAAAAGTTGATTTAACGCATGTTCTCAGAGCTTTAACTGAACGCCAGTAAAATCCCTATGACCGCAATACGTCATGATTACATTACATGATCTGCAGTGTATTGACTCAAAAAACGGCAGCGTCCATAGACTCTTCAGTACAGCTACAGACTCAAACAACAGTCCATCCTTTAATAATAGCGTAGAGATTGATTTATTATCTCGTCTGTCTTTATTTCTTGTTGACGGTCTACAAACATAGAGGCAAAACTCACTCACCGTCAGCGGGTACAAATAATAATCCCAAACGATGGCAGAAAACTTCTTCAGTGCTGAGACGGTGCTGAGAGCGATTTGCGCATTGGGTTCATGTTCCACCAGGAGCAGTCCATCCATTCCCCACTGCCCCTCACGAATTCCGCCTACAGCGGCGGGAGAACTTGCTCCATGCGAGTGAACGGGGTTGGCTGGTCCTGACTGCAGCCTTGCCTCCCAGCTAAAGGTAGAAAACACGAGTTAACTTGACTTTTTAATCGTCTGCTCACAGAAACGGTCGGCACAGCCTGCGACCACGACGCAATACTGCACCCTGGTGGATTCGAAGAAGAATCACAGACACAGTCTTAAAACTCTGATTTTAGGCCACGCACGGAGTAACAGTGAGGATGCCAACATATAAATTGGTGCTCTTTGATTTTAGTTCATTAATGTTTCCTTCCATTATTTCCGTATAACTATTTTCATAATAACCATGATAGTCTTCTATGTCTTAACAGAGTCTAATAAGAGATACAATATTATGGCCAAAAGTATGTGGACACCTATACATCGCACCCGTATGACTTTGCTTGACATCCCGGTCCAAAACCATGGGGATTAATATGGAGTCGCCCCCCCCCTCCTTTGTGGCTATAGCAGCCTCCGCTCTTCTCAGAAGCTTTGTGCAACACAACATTTGGAGTGCGTCTGTGGAAATTTGTGCCTATTCGGCCAAAACAGCATTTATGAGGTCAGGCACTGATGTTAGACGAGAAGGCCTGGCTCACAATCGACATTGCAATGCATCCCAAAGGTGTTCAGTGGGATTGAGGTCAGGACTCTGTGCAGGCCACTCGAGTTTCTCCACACCAAACTCATCAAACCATGCCTTTATGAACCTCGCTTTGTGCACAGGTACACGTCATGCTTGAACAGGGAAAGGCCTTCCCCAAACTGTTTTCACAAAAGTGGGATTAATTCATTGTCTAAAATGTCTTTGTATGCTGTAGCATTAACATTACCCTTCACTGGAGCTAAGGGTCTTGCCTAAACCCTGAAAAACAGCCCCAGACCATTATTCCTCCTCCACCAAACTTTACTGTTGGCACTAAGCATTCTGATAGGTAGTGTTCTCCTGGCCAAACACAGATTTGTCATCAGACTGCCAGATAGTGCAGCATGATTCGTCATTACAGAGAACACGTTTCCTCTGCTCCATAGTCAGTTGATGGTGTGCTTTACACCACTCCACCCAGTGCTTAACATTGTGCATTTTCATCTTAAGCTTGTGTGCAGCTGCTCAGTCATGGAAACCCATTTCATGAAACTGTTGATGCATAGTTCTTCTGCTGATGTTGCTTTCAGAGGCAGAACTCTGTAGTGAGTGATGCAACGATAGGTAGGCACTATGCGCTTCAGCACATGGTGGCATCGTTCTATGAGTTTGCATGGTCTAATGCTTCGTGGATTAGCTGTTGTTGCTCCTAGACACTTTTCACTCCATTTTACAATAATAGTTCTTACGGTTGACTGGGGCAGATCTAGCAGGACGGAAATTTCACAAACTGACTTGTGGCAAAAGTGGCATCCTATGACTGTGCCAAGTTTAAAGTCAATGAACTCATCAGTACGACCTGCTAATGTTTGTCTACGGAGATTGCAAGGCTATGTGCTTGATTTTATTCACGTGTTAGCGTGTGTGGCTGAACTCAACAATCAGAAGGGGTGTCCACATTGGCTATATAATGTACATACTCGTTGACAGCAGTCTTTGCCGAACAGATGTTAGATATAAATTAGACAGTTGTCAGTGGCCAAAGATGGGTACTAACTAGTGATATTTATTCAGTTACATTACATATTCAAGTACAGTTTTGGTGGATTTGTACTTTGCAGAGCATTTTCAAATGATAGCATTTTTGCTGTAACTGAAGTAAATTTGTGAAGAAAGCAATCTTATCGAGTAAGTTTCACTTTTGTCATTAACATTTAGGTACTAATTTACTTTTTGTGTTTAATTTGATTGTTACATTGGTGATATTATCTGTACAGGTTGGTAATACCTCTGATTGTAGAGCTTAAGTATTTGGTTTTAGAAAAAGCCAAAAAGAGAAGAATAATTCAGTTCCTGTGCTGATAGTTGTTGGAGGTACTAAAGATGTTCTATAGGAAACTATATATAGAGCACTTAAGTCTTTGGATGTGTTAGTTTTTGCGCTTCTACTCAAGTTGCTTTTTTATTTGAGTCATTATTCACTGAATTCACTATATTTTTACTTGAGCATGAGTTTAGGTTACTTTACCACATCTGTCAGCGTCCAGAGAGAAGTTAAAGGGGAATATCATCGAGTCAGAATTGTTAACAGTGGTGGTGATAGGAACCAGACGTCTAAAAAATCTAAAAGCTCCCTAACAGACAGTCACTATATGAAATGGTTAAGATGGTTTAATGAGTTAAACTGCCTGATGTCTGAAACATTGTTTCACAATAGTTTGAAGACGTTTTGGTCTAAACCGGTGGAATTTCACTTGTAGTTACATAGTCATATGTAACTCAAGAGAAGTTAAAATAAGTAGATAGTCTAGTGTGGCCAAACAGAAGTCAGAATTTGTGGTCAGATGAGGTGACCTAAATCCCGCTGGGAAAGCTCTCCTTTGTTCTGAATGCCTAGATGTTCATTTCATCCTCAACAGTAAAAACGCCCTGCTCTGTGATTTAAGCCCACGGGTTGAGTTTACAGAAGTGCCACGTTGTGGCCAGGTCGTGCGTAAGAGCTGTTAGATGTTTTCTGAGGTTTTGCTCGGACCGTGATTGAGGGTCCACGCCCAGCCGAGTCCGCGCTACATCCGGGCTCTCTGCAGGGTGTCACAAGCCTGCGAAGATGGCGACTGCGGGGAGGAATACACTGCTATCCGCTAGCTTAACTGTAAATAACAGCGCAACGGAGAACCAAAACCCAGAAGAGGACGACGGACAGAATTTATGGTAAGCATAGCCTTGGTTTTTATTACACAGCGAGCCAGGGCAGCTGAGTGAACTGGTTCTCCAGAACCGCGTTGGTTAGACGTTGAGCCGGCGAGCCCAACCAGACAGACAGGTGCCCACTCACGCTTCGGCTTCAGCGAGCCGTGTTTTTGTGTAAAGACAGGGTTTGTTGCCAACGCCCGTTTTGCTTCTCTACGCTCAGGTCATCGATATTGAGTGAAGTATCAACGCGTTCACGGTCCAAGCTGCCATCGGGGAAGAATGTCGTGGTTATGGGTGGGTATCTCTCCTTTTTCTCCTCCGCAGTGTTTTTATTGTTATTCTGTTTCATGACTGCTGGGGCAAAGGCTCCCTGTCCTCCCTCATCTCTGCGTTGTGTTCTCTAACTGTCGATATACTGTATGACTTGCATTCTGGTTAACAATTTTAAACCGAGCTGATCACCAGCTAGACCCTTGTCTCTTTGCATTAACATGGTCGTAGCCAGTTAGCTAACAATCAGCCTTACTGCAAGCTCGCTAGCCGCTATGCTAGTGTGCACATCATTGTCTGAATTGATCTCCGTCTCCATTGACAACACTGCGCTCCGAGACGCAGAGGACCGAGGCTGACCAGCCGAGTGGCCTAGGCTCGTATATAGAGCAGTTTTGTAACTGCTGGAGAATTTCTGGCTTGAATTTCTGGCCCCTTACAGCCAGACAGATAATCCGCACCAGAAGACATTGCCATTAGCTTATCACTGGGCTGGTAGCGGCCCAGTTGCTCATAACGCTGTTAATAGGTGGACAGTGGACACAAGGGGCAGTTCAGTGTCTATGCAGTTTTTTATGCTTGTTTTGTTTTGGGCTTTAAATTTTTTTTTAAATTACAAATAATGACAAAATAGTTGCAAAAATAATAATTATTAATCATATTTCCCAAAAACTATAAACACATTTAATAATATTTGTTTTGTTATAATAATAATAACAATATAAACATTATTATTATTATTATTATTATTATTATTATTATATTTGATAGTAGCCTATACACTCTCAGAAAAAAAACAGATTTGTTACTGGGGCAGTACTCCTCTTGTCACTGGTGTGGTACCCTCAAGGGTAGTCAGGGAACATAATTCATATACAATTCCATAATGCATTGAAATCTTATTTTCTAAGTTGTATTGACTCCACACAACCCATCTCCTCTCCAGGCTTTTTATTCTATTGCTCTGTTCTAAACCATTAGGTTATAAAAAGGTAAAAATATGTACTTTTCCACTGGGAAAAAAAACTTATTTAAGGCACACAATTGTACCTTAAAACCACTGTTGTACTTCGAGGGTGCATTTACATTGTTTGTATCTTGATGAACAAAAATGTACCTGCATAGAACCTTTATTTCTAACAGTGTATGTGTGTCAACTAATGTTTTCATGAAACTGTGAGTATAGAGCTGCTATGGAGTTGGAGCCAGTAAATACATGAGGCTGAGCTTAGGTCAAATGTGATAATAAATCTGTCCTTAAACCCAAAATATATATGAATGTGTTTACAGGTGAAGTGGGATCCGGTAAGACTACCCTGGTGGCCAGACTGCAGGGTGTGGAGGAATACATGAAGGGTCGAGGCTTGGAATATCTATACTTTAACGTGCATGACGAGGACGTAGATGGTAAGAACAGTGACTGGATAGCATTTACAAATGGTGCCAGTACCTACACAAGGCTCACAGGCAAAGGTTTTTGGTGGCTTTTGGGTGCCTAGTCCAACCTACATTTTTGTTGTACTTTATCTTTCACCTTGAGGTCCGCTTATAAAGATTGGGTGGCTTTATGTACCAAAAACAGTTGTAATTTATTTTTACCTGAACAAATTTTCAACCACTCTTTATCTCTTAGAATTAAACAGGCTGTATTTGTGACCGTGCATTTAAGGCTAATATATGTAAGTAGACTCTTCTGATTGGTTGGCCTGCATTGTATTTCATTTAAAAAGCTGTCTGGGCTGAAACATTCATAACTTGAATGGATGGAGCTAAGCTGCTGTAGGCTTAATAGGCAGGTATATGTAAATAGGTTGTTTTCTGTGATATCACAAAAAACCGTGAATTCATAATGGGCTGTTTAGTTTTCATATATGGACTGTGTGGGCTAGAGAGTGAACGGTCCATTTTAAAGCTTTAGCAGTGTTTTTATACTACATCAAACACTGTTATTGTTATAAAAAAAGAGAACCATTTAGTTTTCCAAGATGTGGGTCCTTTAAAATGTATTTCTAAAACAGGTAGATGTCTTTATATGATTTAGATGTGTATAGTATTATGTATTGGCACATTGTTTTCCTCATGATGTCACTAGAGACTAAACATGTGCAATATGGTAAAAATATATTATCACAATACTTGAAGACTTTTCACAATGCACAACTTGTATGACACCGATCTGTTTTTCTAAGGTTTGTAAACAGGTTGGAATGGCTAAAATGCTTCAGCAAAACAGCCACCTTTAAAAATAAAATGGAAAAAAAGGCTATGAAACTGCATATCAAATATTTTTTGCAAAAAATAAGCAATAAAAAAGACAAGACAGGCTTAATTTTATTAATAATAATAATAATATAATCTCTATAATTAGTCTGTGTTTATATACATGCAATTGTTCAGTGTTCTAAAAGTAATGACAATACCTGTGATTTGCTCAAAAAAGGCATATTCTAATGTAATTTATCATCATATTGCCCTCGTACTGCAGACTGTGACTTCAGGAAGGAACTCTGCTCTTGTGTCATCGCCTGAGTTTATCTGAGCTTTTACTCAGATGTTACTCCTTCTGTAGGTGGCACAGCTTCAGGGAGACTGAGACGCTGGGGCACTCAAAATCAATACTGCACCATTTCCCATTTTATCTCTGCAACACCTTACTTGGGTGAAGAAGTGTTTGTAAAAGTTTGAGTAAATGAAAGTACTAAATATAAACATAAACATAGCCAATGTATAGGCTTTTTTTCTTTTTTTTTTTAACTGATGTTTTAAAAACTTCTAAAAACGTTGTTGTAACATCTGGGATCATGTCATAGCCTTGAATTGGCTCTTAAGTAACATGAAGCTAGTGTTTAATTGCAAATAAATAAGATAATTTGAGCTGAGCTGTGCCTCTGCTATGCATACAATTATGAGGCGTTATTATAAACTCATACAGTCAAAACCTCAGGTTCCATTGCATAAAATGCAAGTGACCTATTAAAATTAGTCCGTCTGTACATCTGTCTGTAAATTTTATTTTACCACTGATCAGCAGCAGAGCAGTACCAGATTTGCTGGAAAGGTGCAGTATCCCCCCACTCCACTTTGGCCAGTGAAGTTACCCTGAGTGGCCTGATGGCAGCACTGTAGCACAACATTGTACGTTTTGACACAGATCTTCTAAACAGTGTTGTACAGTCAAAATAGTTTCATCAGATTCTATAGCAAAAAACTTGGATTGAATTTTGCATAATATGCAAAAACGTCTTTTGCCAAGAAGTGTCTTGTTTTTTATTTTTGTTGGTCTGGTCTCAAAAGATTTGCTAGAATCTAAACTTAAACATTTGTTATAGGCATGTTCACCTTTATAAACAATATAGTATCCACATTGCAATTGGTCTTTAGTGGGTGGAGCTTAGAGGACTGCAACAGATGTAAATCATGGCCTCTGGCTGGTTCTCATATTTATCTGATAGAATTCAAATAGTGTAAGTTATATCTTTATACTTTGCAGTAGGGCTGGGCGATAAAACGATAACGATAATTATCGCGATATAACTTTTCCTCGATAGAGTGATACAACATGTTTGATAAATGTTATAATACATGATATATAAATGATAAAATACACCATAAAATAAATGATATAATACAACATTCTCACACCTTCACGTTCTAGCGAAAACCTTGGTGGTGTTTTCTACTGCAAGGAACGCGACACTACTCTGCTGTCGCCAGGAAAGGACGCACTTCCGAGTTTTTCTACATGATTTAGAGAGGGAGGGGGCCACAAATAAGATGAGTCTTTAGCAACGGCTGAAACGCGGAGTTATACGTTAAATCACAATCACAATCCTCACAACTAAAGCGCTGTTCCAGCGCTCGGACAGTCATATTTAAGTATTAGTGCATTCCTAAGCAACAAAAGTGAAAAAAAGAAGTGAGTTCATGTAAATTACAGCCCTGATTTAAACGAAAGTAAACTGAGGAAGCTGTGAGGCATTGGAGAGCGGGAGAGAGATATCTTTCCAGGCTAGCTGTTGAAGCAGCGCTCTGTCACTCGCACAACATGGAGAATTGATGATACTGTAGATCAAACAAGACAGTTCAGTTTCAGTTTAAACGTACCTAAAAAGAGGACTCTGTTTGTCTGGTGTTAGATATATTGCGGTTCACCCCTTAAACTACTACAATTGAATAGAGAAATCCAGTCGTCGCTAGCTGGAGTTTGAATACTGTGATGTCATTTGTAACGGGATAGCCGAGCGCTCGTCACCAGCTAAAAATAATCTGTTTTCTTTCTTAAATTATGACTATTACAAAAATAGCCATGCTTTTCCAGCTGGTGAAAACAGCTCACCAGACACTTTCTCCCACTCTCCCGTGACAGATTTGTGAAATGTTCCACTGTTTGGTGAGTGTTTGTCGAGTTCTGACTATAAAGGATAGTTTAAAACAGCAATTAACCACCCAGGACCAAAAATCAGCCTTCAAACTTGAAAGAAATAATGATATGACATTTAGCGTGATATGTATTGATATCGAATGATATGAATTTTGTTTATCGTGATAACATTTTTGGCCATATCTCCCAGCTCTACTTTGCATAGTCAACTTAGTGTTAACATAGTTATGAAGTTCTCACATATTTGAAATCACTTCCGAGTCATTTTATAAAATTTTACTATATTTCATCTTGAAGTGGGTCATGGAATGTCATGAGTGACTGCCATACTTTTGTGCTTAATGCTAACAAGCCTGATAATCACAGAATTTTCCATAAATATTTGTTTGACATTCTGATTATTCACACCAAGTTTGACCTAGATTGACCCTAATACCCATGATGCACCAAGCAGACATTTGAGAATTAGCGCCAACTCTGACTGATCATCGTCTTCAGCCAGTTCGCCGCAGCCACTTGTTTTCTGTGAAAATTGCACTCGACCACACCACTAAGACTACCGCTGTCGTGTTTACAAGAAAATGGGCACCTCTGTAGCTCTATAGGGTTGACAATGTTCTAAAACTGCAGTGTACAAAATAAAGAATGTATTGTTTGAATGTCTTATAAGCTTCAAATGTCTGTGTGTATGCTAAACCTAGTGTGTGAAAATGAAAGTAAACCACAATTAGCAGGGTAACAGCCTGTGTGGGTAAAAAGTCTTATTTAACCTACATTGAACAGTGCTTTTAAATGTTCATAATTCTATGACAAAAACTAATAAAGTGAAATGAATATCATAGTTTTTATTTTATCTTAGTATGTTATCAAAGCGCCTTCAGTGCTCTTGTGCGTGTGAGTTTATTCATAACAGTATTCATCAGGGTTGCAGGCCTAAGGCAGTACTACAGTGCATAAAAATATTTGACATAATTGTGTTGTTTGCTATAAACTCTGGAAGTGAATTTCAGTTTGGAAGTTTGTGTTGATTTTTGATGTAGCCTTAGCACAACACATTAATGATTTAAACATCCAAGTTTTCTGCAGGCAGTTCTAATCTGTCAGTGTTGTAATTGTCCTTTATTAATAATACAACATTTTACCCTTACATACATTCTGTTGTAATGACATCAGTTAAACCAACCAAAATTTATCCATGTCAGATTTAATAAACACATCGTATTGTATTTTGCAGACCATGCACGGTGTAACGCGTGGGTGCTGGATGGGGATCTGTATCACAAAGGCCTGCAGAAGTTTGTTCTTTCTGTGGATAACCTGGCTGACTCTCTGGCCTTGTTCGTGGTGGATCTGTCCCGGCCCTGGCTGGCCCTAGACTCTCTGCAGAAATGGGCGAGCGTGGTGAGGGACTACCTGGACAAACTGCGAGTGCCTCCTGAGACCATGAGAGAGCTGGAGCACAGATGTAAGTGTGTATTTGTTTGGGTGCTGGTTAAACTGTGTAAGTGCGTTGCAGCATCCATTAAAAAATATCAATTCAGTTCTCTTCTGATAAGTCATTAATATGAGCTTAGATTGCTTAAATTGGGTTGTGGTGATTGGTTGATTACTCTAATGCTTTAACTCCTTTAACATAGCGATCAAAAATATGTGATAAAATTGACAAAAAGTCAGCTGTGCCTGTTTTTTACTGGCACATTGTTTTAAAAATCCAGTTTTGACATACTAAAGTTTTGAAGGCCAATACCAGCCAGAATTGTCAGTCAAAAAACATATCTGTCTTGCGCTTTTATTTAACGTACTGTGATTTTCTGCTGTTTTTCTGGGTGTATAGTGGTGAAGGAGTTCCAGGAGTATGTAGAGCCAGGCAGTGATCTGGAAGCCGTGCCCCAGAGGAGAAATCCTGAGTCGGAGGAGGAGAGCATTGTTCTGCCCCTGGGGGACAACACATTTACACACAACTTAGGCATTCCTTTAGTGGTGGTCTGCACTAAGGTAGGACTTTTTAACAGCCCTTTTCTGTGTTTCAGTTAATGTAGTAGTTCTACCAATTGTAATCGAACCTGTAAGTATAACTGTTATTTTGTATATTTTATTTTTATGATAACAATGGGCCTCATTCACCAAACGTGCTTAAGAAATAATTTCTTCTTTAAACCCATCTACGCAGTTTTCACAAATATTCTGACACACAGCAGTGTTTTCTTATTAGGGATTTGTTCTTAGGTAAAAGCAGAATCTGTGCACACTTGACTTTTTCTTAGGATCTTTCTCAAGCACAAGAAAAAACTTATGAAGATAATGGTGAATGACGCCTAATGTTATTTTGCGCAAATTTTTTCACAATGGCCAGCTTTTTATACAAGGCTTGTAGTAGTAGTAGTGGGGTAGTTTTACAAAATAAGCATGGAGATCATTCACTACAGTGTAATGGCTTTGATGTCCAGTGAAACGTGATAAACCGTATGTAGACAGCAGAGAACTATAGCTGTGAATGCAATTTTGGAATAGTGATGGGAATCTAAATAGATTAGGCTCTCTTTACGCTTTGCACTCTCTTTCTCTCTCTGTTTGCTAGTGTGATGCTATCAGCACTCTGGAGAAGGAGCACGATTATAGAGATGAGCACTTAGACTTCATCCAGTCACACATCCGGCGCTTCTGTCTGCAATGTATCCTTCACAGCCACATGCTTTGAGATAGCTGTAAACAGTTGCCACTCAGACACAGCAGTCTGGTGACAGTTATGTTTACATGTAGGCTTATGTAGAGCAATTGGAATTTTATAGGTCAGATAATTGCACACTCCCACTGCCCTGATTTCAAAGTTGTGCTACAGCGTTGCTTGTATTTACAGTGTTAGCACAGAGATTGATTTGCCAAATGCATTATCTGTGTCATTTTTGTGTCAGGGCAACAGACAAGTTTTAGGTAATATATTAATTCCTTAAGCGTCAATGTGCTGTTTCAGATGGTAACATAATCCAATGAGACAGAATCACCACAGCTGAGAATAAATTCCTGAAAATACTGCAAGCTTTATGATCAAAGTTATAAGGTTGATTGCCCCTTGACACGTCGCCATTCAGATGGAGCAGGACTACTCTACACATCCATGAAGGAGAATAAAAATCTAGACTTGTTATATAAATACCTCGTGCACAGGTTATATGGCTTTCCATTCAACTTCCCCGCCCAGGTGGTGGAGAAGGATTCAGTGTTTATGTAAGTGCTTCATCTCTTGTAATATACAGGTGTCTGGGATAAGTAAAACTGATATAAATAAAATTAAAAGTTAAGACATTTTGAATTATTTTGAGATTTAAACATCCCATACAGCAGCTGTATGTGCATGTAATAGGGCCTGACTGAAATGGAACTTTTGTGCCTGATACCAATACCTGGTACTTTTAAAGCAAAGTATTTGTAATGATCCATAATGAATTTACTTCCAATATCCTTTTTAATAAAACAAATGGAAGTGATGTGGCAAGTGAACTGGAAGGCTCTTATTCACTGCTTTTGTTTGGAGCACGAGAAGCTGCTGCTACTCATCTGCGATAAAATGCGCAGTTACGGTGAAATAAGATCCAGTGGTGATGGATGTCCACGCAGCACATGTTACAGCTATTCTACCCGTTTTCTTTAGTGATTTTATAACTTTGGTTTTGGTCTCGTTGTAGAGACGGGGGGGTCGCTGTGTCAGTAAACTATCTTTGAGACGGGACGTGTGAAACATAGCGCGAAAGCCCTGTTTCACGACTGAGAACCGGCATGCAGACTGCAGGTCACCTAGCAACGATGCGTTATTCGCATTTATAAGCACTGCAGTTGGTTTCCTGGTACGTTAAATCTGCAACGAGAGACTGTCAAACACTAAAAAGTGGCAAAGCTGAAGTCAGCTTCTCTTTCAAATTCTCCCGTTCCACCTTAAATCGTGCCGCATTTACATTCGGCGCCTCAGAATTTAAAGTGGAACGGGAAAATTCGAACAAGAAGCTGGAGAATAAGAAGCGACTTCAGCCTCGTAAAACAATAGAACGTTGAGAGACATTTAACTGATCTACTTCTGAGGAAAAGTTTTCTGGCAGAGATGGGAGTAAGCGGCTGTAGGCGAAGCTTAAAGCAAATCTGCGCACTCGTTTATATTTTTTAGTCTATACTAGAACATTATCACATACTGAGACATACTGGACATTAAATGTTGCGGCTCCCAAGCTGGTTTGTTTTTTTGTTGAAAGGACAAAATGGCTCTTCTTTTCATTTGTGTTGTGACTCATGACTTAACCTGGCTTTTAATGCAGAGGGAGCCCGTCGGATTTCTCGCTCATCCAGTAGTGTTTTTGTTATGTTGCCGCCACAGACTGTCCAGGTGCTGCACTTCCACACTTCCAAGTTCCGCCCTTTGCGTTCCGTCAACATTACGTTATAAATTAAATATTTAGAAAATCGATTTTTGACATTTGTGAATCGATTCAGAATCGTTCACGTCCGCATCGGGATGCATCTAAGAATCGATTTTTTCCCGCACCCCTACTTTTATATATTACAATTGTTTTAGGTAAAGTGTTTTACTCACTGATTTGATTATTAGTTGTCAACTGTGATCTGTCAAATGTTCTCAATTATCAGGTTTTTAAAAACTAAAATAAAAAAAGCAGAAGCAAAAAAAAAAAGCAAAAACGCATAATTAAATAACAAAAATGAAATATTTCATAATATGTGTGGATACAATCACTTCGTTTTTACTTTCATTGTCGATATTAATCGATCAATATTTTAATAATTTTTTTTAAAAATTTTTTTTAATTTTTTGCATGAACTGTCATAAACATGCAGCCCAACCAGCAGCAAACTAATCCAGGGTTCCTTTGGAAGCGGACTAAGGGTGTTTTCACACTTGTCAGAAACACTTGAGTCCGCACCCAAGACCAATTCTGGGCTTGTTTTGGGGAGGGGCTCATTATCACTGGTTTGCTCTCACACACAAGAATTCCCTCCGTACTGTGGATCGATTGCGCAGTTTCGTATGTCAATTTTCTGTTTGCAGGTTTGCAAAATAGTAGGCATTATTAGCTTTATCCTTTTTCTGTTTTTTATTATTTTCCTTGGATAGAAACACTCAAGCGGCAAAGAACAGCACTTTTTGGATACATGGCATTTCACTGTACATGAGCACCTGCAAACAAGGAGCCATTCTCGTATGAGAAGGTTTTTAGCCATGCATTCCATGCTACAAAAAGGACTAATCACACAACCCCAAAAATGTGAAAACACCCTAAGACCCATGACTTTTGAAGGTCCCATGGTTCAGTTGTTTGTTGCACACCTGTATACAAGTGGAGAGTCTACACTTGTCAAAGACTAGCTAAAGAAAAAAAAATTGATTACTCAAGGTAGCGCGCTGAAGTTTCACAATATCATCAGGAGATCATGAGATTGAATCCTGTCGGTGTCACGATCAGAATAGACACAAATTAACTGAGCATTATTTGCAATATTTTCATTGATACGCATAAACTGTAGGTTGTCAGTATTGGTTAATAATGGGTCAGTTTCTCAGACAGGGCTTGTGCCTAGTCCTGGGCTACACAGCTTTCTGAATAGAGATTCTCCACTGAAAGGAAAATGTAGTCCAGCACTAGGCTTAATCCTTGACCAGCAGGCCGAACCTTTTATTGGCCATCCAGTGTATTCAGGAGGGCTCTAGTATGTCAACAAGAATTGATCTTCTTTGGCTTTAGAGTAATGCAGAACTTTGAGTGACCTCCGATTATTCCTTTTTAGTCCGTCGGGATGGGACAACGAAAAAAAGATTGCCATTCTACATGAAAATTTCCAGACAGTAAAAGCAGACGATAACTTTGAAGATGTAATAGTGAAGCCACCAATTAGAAAGGTGAGACAGTCACAGATTTGTCCACACATTTACTGACTGATCATGTCCAATGTTTATTTTCGATGTTGTTTGTCTTTGGCTAGTATTTAAATAATGTGTGATTCTGCCTTCCAGTTTGTACATGAGAAGGAAATTCAAGCAGAAGATGACCAAGTGTTTCTTGTAAAATTGCAGGTAAGGGTTATCCAAAGCATGTCAAGCAAGCATGTTTCGCCATGCGTGGTTTATTGTCTTTTTGTTTTCTTGGTGTGAAAAAGCTGGTTGTGCTTTTTCTGTGCCAACCACAGTCGTTATTTTTCATACATTTGTTTTAACTGAAACTGAACCAAAGGATATAACTTAGATCTAGCCTTCTGCTTTAAATGGTCAGGATGTTCCTGCTGATATTTCCAGACAGTTCTCAGGTGTCTTTAAACCATCACAGGCTCATATTCAGTCTGAATTGCACCATTGACATTCCTGAAGACGTACCATTTTTAGACCTACCATTTCTGGGTGTGCTGTAGTTATAGTGTGTAATTTTACATAATGTGATGCTTTCTTTGCGATGTTGCTTCTGTCGTTACTATGATGAGAAAACGGTAGAAAAGTATTGATGGGGAAAACCTGGAATTTAAATAAAATGGCAAGTGGTCATCTGTAAAAAATAGACAAAAGTCAGTGTCAAAAGTTCCAGCTTCTGGCTGTTACTGCTGTTTTTAGCTATTTGAAGTTATTTAACAACTCAGTGCAGTTTAGGATAGTTAGCTGTTTGCATGATGCTAATTCCATTTCTTGTGAGCTACATTAGCCTTATGGCTCCAGTACAAAACTAAATTAGCAACCCTCAGACTCCGAACATATCCTGATGCATTAAGTACATTTAGGGAAAATTGTGGGAAATTGTGTTAATTAGATTTTTGTCCAAACTATTACTTTAAGCCTAAAAATGTCTTTATTAACTTAATGTAAGACTGTATTAATTATGAATAAATGAATGAGAAAATATCAAATTAATAATTTTAAAGTGTTTTTTTTTTGTAAGTGCTAGTGGACTCTTTGGTGTCTGAGCTAAGCAAAGCTAAACTGTCTTGAACTCACAATGCAGGCCTAGAAACACTGCTGGGTCTCCAGTGCTTCTGTAAGCACTTTTAGATAGGACAAGTCTCAAACCACAGCATGCACAGTTATAAAACTGCTTTTGCGTCTCCCAGGCTGCAGGTGAATGATGCTGGGAAATTTACAGAGATTCTGTAGATGCTAGGGGTGTAAACAATTAACCACTAACTGCCAAAAAAGTTTTCAATAAATAACCATTCCTTGGTGGAGTAGGTGGGTTTATCATTTAAGTTGAGGAGCGCTTTTAACTTTATACGTGAAGGACACAGTAGGCAGTGTGATAGCATAACTGCAATGATATACCATTTGGAAAGCAGACAACTGTTTCATCCATGTTCTCCAAGAGAAAGTGAATGGGTGTACAAAAATGTAGAGAAGGACATGGTGCCATAGGTAGCTGTGGTCATGACATTTATGTTCATTTTACCTTGCACTAGTAATGATTGATAATGAGTGATCAATAATGAGTGAAACTTTAGAACTTTTAGCAGTCCATCATTGTATATTCCAGGCATTTTGCCTACTTTTTGGTTTCAAACCAAAGCCAATCAGGTTGGGTTCAGCCAATCAGATTTCACAGCTGAAACTAACCGTTTTAAAATTAATATTTTCATAGGTCGCATCCTCAATTTTAGGTTTGCTGGTTAACAATTGATAATTGATGGTGAATAATGACTCTCGGTTATTGGTAGAAAGAATTTGACAAAATTTGCATCCCTAGCAGGTGCAGTAAGAATCTTAAACATCATTTTTTTTTTTCTGTTTCTAATGTGTGTTTTAGACACTGTTATCCAAACAGCCTCCGGTTACTGCAGGAAGGCCAGTGGTAAGTTTTCCCCTCCAAAAACTTCATTAAAAGTTTAATTCACCCTTAAGAGTCTGAGAAGCTCTGACTTTTCTTTGTTCTATTGTCTTTGCTAATGAAACTCTTAGTTATGCTGAAAGTAATTATGAGTTTAGTGGTCTGTAATATTTGTATGTTTGTGTGTGTGCATTAGGACGCCTCAAACAGGGTTCCAACAGGCTCTCCAAGGACAACTAACCGCTCAGCGGCTGCTAACGTGGCCAACGTCATGCCCATGCAATCAGGTACCAAGAAGATTGATCCCAACATGAAAGGTGTGTATGAGAGCCATCCATTCAGGATGCATGCTCTCTTCTGCTCTCTTGCTCTCCCTCTTTGTCTTTCTCCTCTGTTTCTTCTCTGTCCTTTTCCTCTCTCTCTTTCTCTCTCTCTCTCTCCTTGGCTCCATCTGTCCTGCACCAAATGTCTGGACCAGTGCTCCTGGGATCACACCTCTCTTTAGTCCTGGAACCTAACTCCACTGCTCTCTGGCTCTGCTTTTATTAAGCTACTAACTCTCTTATCGCCTTCTCCCAAACTCATTGTCTTCACCTACTCAGCTTTAAACTATGAGTAAATTTAAAAGGAATATGCCACTGATCTCTATCTGCTGTACCTATATGGTTGATTATCACAAATATTTTCATTGAGTTTCCCTATATTTAGAAAAGAACGGAAAACCTGTTGACTCTAAACATATTGAAAAGAGAATTCCATTGATTTTTAACGTCTCTCTAATTCAGTGGTTGGGATGAGTCATTCAGAGTGGTTAATGTGATATGTTTTATTTGTAGAGAAACTTTACAGTGATGGTGAAAAGAACCAGGGGTTGTGATATCTACAATATAGATATAGCCATTTTATGTACTATCCAAAATGACCCACACATGTCTGAGTTTTATGTGTAAAGCTGATGATGACAAACAGGGTAAACCTGGGGGGGGAAAAGGTTCTTTTTGAGCACTGCTTTGCCTGAAAAATATGATTTAGGTCAGTACCTGATATCAAAACAAATGTAAAACAGCGTCCGTGCCATCAGACAGTGTATCCATAACCATTTCATATAACTTTCGGTGAGGGAGCTTTCAGAAGCATTAAGCTCTTCAAATGTGTGGTTCCTGTTACCACCACTCTGTTTCTCTAGAATGGCGCATTTCACATTAAACTGCTTTCAATGACTTTGTTTACATTTAAATGTTGAATTATAAAATTTTGAGAAATTTGCCTTAAAAATAAGCTCTTGGGCAGTTGCAGAGTTCCGTCAGTGATGTTCAGGCAGCCTTAAGTTGTACGTTCTTAAGTGTAGAGCTGTATAATTTGTTCTCCAGAGACAGGATTACAATTTCTCTCTTCTGGAAAGTTAATAATCTGTTACCACCATGATGGTGCTGCTGGAGTTTAACAGGCTCTTGCCAGATCTCACATGGTGCCAGGGCAACCTTAATGTTTTGTTAGGGCAAAATTTAACACAGTTGTGTGTTTTTTTTTGTTTTTTTTTTTTTTATAACTTGTTGTACAGTGTTCAGATGTTAAAATGATAAGACATTTTCCTATGTCTGTCTCAACAGACTTTGTTACTAGAGAGTAACAGTTGTAGTTTCAAATTTGCATTACATACCCTCTTGGCTTGGATGTATCGTTTTGAAAAAAAAAAAAACTTATTGTAAAATATGTTTGTAAAATTATTGTAGGCTTTTTAAAGCTTAAAAATGTTCCTCATAGGTACATACCTCATTTGCAAACATTTGCAAGAACCTCTTATTATTAAGAGTGCAGGCACATATTTCAAACTTTTCAAGAAATTCAGCAAGTGCCCATTGTATGTGTATGTTTTCTATTATATATGTATGTTTTTTTTCTTTGTTTTCTAAATTCAGAAAAATATGTCAAAGTTAATCAACTGTACTAAAGAGGTGCTGCAGATAGAGATTAGGTGAAAAAAATACTGCTCCGTTCTATTTATTTGGATGTCTCAGGTGTGGTTCCCATACCAGTTCTCAGAGACCCCCAGCCAGTCAAAGACACTTGGCTAGAGATTCATTGATTCTGATACTGGTATCGGGTATTGGCTTGATACCATGGTCATTTGTACTTGTACTCACAAAAATACAACAATACCAACATCTGATACCAGACATGGCAAGGCCTTACCTTGCCTTACCTGATACCATGTGACTTCAGCCGAGTGTACGACTGCTGCACTAATAAACAAATGACTTAAGCTGGCAGTGATGTAGGTTCCCACAGAAAGGTGTTACGGACTGTTGTGGTCAGACTCAAAGCCTTCAGTCACTGTGCCTTAGCATACTCCCGCCAGACACACACATGCAATTTTTGGCCCTTTTGTAAACACACACAGCACAACCATTTCCCCAATATGTGTGACTACGTAGGCTAGCAAAGTGGAGGCGACAAAGTCGTATGCTGACTGAATAGAATAGCGAGATATAAGCATTATTACGGTAATTTTTTATGTAAAATAGGCTGTAGAGAGACCGTAAAGTCTTACTGTGTACTTTATTGCCTGGTTTTAGTAGTTAGCAGAGCTGCTGTAGCTCAGTTTCTCAGCGCATTTGCCTGGTACTCCGGTGGACAACATGTTATTTTAAATGAAACAGCTTTATTTGAAATTGTCTGTAGACAGAGTTTCATTTCACACAGCGTGGACGAGGCGTCTTTGTACAGTGTGAGTCACCAAGGAACAATATTGCGAAAAATTGCACAGTGTACATCTGACTTTAGGCAAAACAATCAATCTGTTTGCTGCTTCTCTTCAGTCTTCAGCCCTGTCTGACCTACATAACCTATCGTCCCCTGAAAGTATGGTTTGCCTTTATAATGACACTGTCTCTGGGTTCTTAATTATTTAGCCCCTTTTAAGAATAGACTTGTCCCTGCCACCCGCTCGTGTCCTTGGTTCATCCCTGAACTAAGGGTACTGAAGGCCATTGGGCGGCGTCTTGAGCACCTTTATAAAAAAAACTGGCCTTAGTGTCCACTCTCTACTTTACAGTCAACACATCCACAAGTATAGGGATGCCCTTAATACTGCCCGCTCCAACTACTACTCCTCCATCATAAATAATGCTAAAATCTAGGTCGAAAACACTCTTTCGAACTGTTAACAAACTCCTCCATCCTCCTGTGTCAGCGTGCCCCCATTTAGCTGAGCAGTGTCAGGCTTTTCTATATTCCTTTGAAAAGAAAATTAATCAGATCTATAGTTTCTTTCCTTCTACTTCTCAGTCATTCGCCTTTACTGATTTTTCCTACTTTGGACACAAAGCTAACTTGTTTCTCACCTGTTGACTCCTTTTCTGTCTAAGTCTAATGCTTTCTCCTGTCAGCTTGACCCTGCCCCCACCCCTCTACTCAAGGCCTGTTCATCTGTAATCAACACTCCAATTACTACAGTGATAAACTCATGTCTCTCTTCTGGTTTGGTTCCTACTGCCCTTAAAACTGCTGCAGTTACTCCTATACTTAAGAAACCTGAATTGGAACCGACTTCTCTTTCTAATTACAGACCCATCTCACACCTTCCGTTTTTAGCTAAAGTAATGGAAAGAGAGCTTCCCAACTCCAGACATTTCTCAGTGATAATGCCCCCTATGAGCCATTTCAATCTGGTTTCCGTACTCACCACAGCACTGAGACAGCTCTTCTGCGAGTAGTTAATGATCTTCTCCGGTCTGCTGATAGTGGTTCTCTCATTATTCTTCTTCTCCTTGACTTAAGTGCAGCATTCGATACTGTTAATCATGATGTTCTCATTTCTCGTCTTTTCTCTATTGGTATCACTGACACAGCCTTACAGTGGTTCAGGTCGTATCTTACAGACAGACAGCAGTTTATCACACTAGGTCCATACAAGTCCTCCATCTTTCCTGTTACATGTGGTGTCCCTCAGGGCTCAGTTCTTGGACCCCTACTTTTCTTAATCTACATCTCACCCCTTGGCCTGATCATTCGTAGCCATGGCCTTAACTTTCACTGTTATGCTGATGATATCCAGTTATATCTTAGTACACACACACCCTCAGATTCCCCTCCCAATACACTAATCGATTGTATTTCTGATTTAAAGCTCTGGATGCACAATAGCTTTCTCATGCTAAACACTGATAAAACTGAAGTCTTACTGGTTGGCTCTAAACCTTTACTATCAAAATCATCCAATTTTTCAGTTAGTGTTGATGGCCTGCTCGTTAAGCCTGCACCTGTTGTTAGAAATCTTGGTGTTTTACTCGACCCATCACTTAAATTTCATCTGCATATCAAGTTCCTCACTAAGACTGCATTCTTTCATTTACGTAACATTGCTCGTCTTCGCCCGTTCCTGACCGATAATGATGCAAAAACTTTGGTTCATGCCTTCATTATGTCCTGTATTGACTACTGTAACTCCCTCTTTGTTGGTCTCCCCGTCAAGTCTATACAAAAGCTACAGTACATTCAGAACTCTGCAGCTAGAGTTCTCACCCATACTAAGCGTTTAGCTCACATCACCCCATTCTCTTTCAGCTACACTGGCTACCGGTCCCGTCCCATATAAAGTTTAAAATTTTACTACTCACTTTCAAAGCCCTGCATAACCTTGCTCCCCCCTACCTCAGAGAACTGCTGACCTCTTACACTCCCTCTCGCTCTCTCAGGTCTTCTTGTAATAACTTATTTGCTGTCCCACGCACCAGACTTTCCACTTTGGGAGGGAGGTCCTTCAGTGCCATGGTCCCCAAACTCTGGAATTCTCTTCCTCAATCCCTCAGGGACTGCTCTTCTTTCTCCTCCTTCAAATCTGATTTAAAGACTTTTCTCTTTAATCAGCATTTTTCTTCCTCCTCCACTGCTTAAGAAATTTTTTTTTTTTGGTTTGTTTGTTTGCCCATGCTATGTGAAGCGACCTTGGGTTTGTGAAAGGCGCTATATAAATGTAACTTAAATGTAAATTATTATTATTATTATTATTATTATTATTATTATTATTAAAACCAGTTACAAAGACTTCAACAGCATGAAACATGAGCTCCTCAGATTAGCCTTGGATGTGATTCCTGCTGTCGCTTTGCTACAGAGACTGTTGTTAAGAGGTGAAGAAGAACAAAACCCAATCTTACTCGATCCAAGGTAACTGATGTAGGTTAGCTAGCTGATGAATGTCATTTAAATCAACTAGATTTTAATGATTTAACTTTTAAGGTACATTGTCATTTACACTAATAACTGCTTTGTTCTTAGTACGTAATTCATTATGACAAAAATGAACAAGTAGTGGCAAGTACTAAAATAAAACCAGGTACTCGGTCTGAAAAAAATGGTATCGCTGCATCACTACACTAGCCACCTCTAGCCAAAGCATCCCAGGACTGGAGTGGGAACCACTCAGTCATCTAGTCAAGGCCGGTGTTTTTCCTATAGCCTTGATAGTGGTTTAGTGTGTTATAGCAAGATTTCAGCAGATGTTCTAATAAGAAATGCTTTGCTTAAGTATTTAGACTACAGGAAAAGATTGCCTCTCAGGGTCGGGGATTAGGGGAGATGCAGTCAGTATTAGGATTTTCACTGCCTGTCCTTAGCCCTGAATTCTTTTTAACATTGTATTCATTTGTTTTTAAACTCTTTCCTGTCTTAATAAACCTTGCCTGGGTGGAGGTAGAAGTTGCCATTTTATTGAAATCTGACACAGCTTTAGTCAGTAACATAATGAATAGAGCTCAACACTGTATACTTCTCAATAAATATATAGCACATGATGGCATTGGACAGTAAAATGTGTGTTGTTTCTTGAACGAGTTTGTCTTCCCCTGATGGCAGGTGGTCAGACCAGCGAGGGCGTGCTGGCTAACTTCTTCAACAGCCTCCTGACTAAAAAAGCAGGTTCACCTGGCCCTGGTGGCCAGCCCGCAGGGGGAGGGAGCAACACTCCTGGAACAGTCCGCAAGTCAGGTAAGAGTCACAAGATGACATCTATGATGATAACACAGGCTTTTTCATGTTCCTTTGCAGCTTTCCTCAGTCTAGGAATGTAAGTACATTATTAAGAATGTAAGTAAAGTAACTGTTATTTTTGGGTTTATATAATATTATATTATTATATATTAATATTATATAATATTTATTTACTTAGTTATTGCTTTTATAAACAGTCTTGGCTCAGATATTTCATTGTTTTCACAGTAGATACTATCACAAATTCATCAGATTGGTCTTTGGCCAAGCCTGTTTATTAAATTATCGGATTCCATCATTTCACGTGATTCCTAAGCTGGAAAACAGCTTGGAAGAATTTATTCAACAATCCCCAGTAACTCTGAAGCAAAAATAGTTGAAACATTTTGTGATTTTGAGAGGTCAGTCAATACCGCTTTTTATAAGAAGATGGAAGGGCACCTTATTTGTGCTTAAAATAAGCCCTAAACCTCTACAACCTGATGAAAACTCACATATTTTGAATATTGAGGAATTAAGGGGATCTTTAAAGAAACTGTAGACATCTGCAACCTTTATCCCAAAGTGACCTTGTAATCTGGCCATCGGTTTGCTTTGTTCAACTGCAGAGTGACTGGAGAGTCTTGACCAAATTCTTCATCACATCATAAATTCAGAAATGAATTTGTGGAATTTATAGAGACACTCCACCATTTTTCATCTGGTTAAGTAGGTCCAGCATGATGCACATTTCAGGACTTTGTCTTAATTCAAATCAGCATTTATTTTGTTGCTGTCGGTGTTTTTTTTGCATAGGTCTGTGTATTTGATATTTTTACTGCATTTTAGCCGTGCTTTAGGGTAGCATTTCAGAGTCAGGCAATATATATTTTACCAAAAAGGCTTTTTAAAGGTAATTCCACAATCGTTTTCAAAATTTCTGCATAATTCACTGGTTGAAATTGTGTTTCAATGTGAAATAGTTAATTGTAGAGACACTGACCAACTCAGATTTTTTTTACAGCCGTGGTGAAATAGAGGGTCACAATGTCTACAATGCAAATCTAGCCATTTTATTTACTATCCAACACAGCCAGTGAATCTACTTATGTCTTCTTAGTTTTTATATGTAATGTTAATGATGGTAATCTAGTGGGGGAGTCTGGGGGGAAAACATTTTTTTTTTTGGTTGCTCTTTTGCCTGAAAACACCCTCTTCTCCCTGAATGTGTTACAGTTTAGGCCAAAATTTCAAAATACTCATACAGTCTCTCAGGCATCAGGCAGTATATTCATAATCATTTCTGTTATGGTGTGTTATGAGGTAGCTTCTAGACCTCTGCTTTCCATCCCCACTATTGTAAACAATGCTGACTGGATACATTTATTTAGAATGGAGCATTTTGCATCAAACTACTCTAAATTAGGTTGTTTACATCTTGACAACTGAATTATTGTTGTTGTAATTTTTACTTATGTCTTCACATCTCACAGTTGCCAAGTTATATTGTGCTTGAATTGTGTTTTTTTTTTATTCAGTTTTTTGATGTTCTAGTTTGCAGACTTCTGAAAAGTAGTGGTTGACTGACATTGAGGATAAAGATTAAAAATAGTGGGGTGACCCTTTAGCTTCCACCTCCATTATGTGCATTTTTTTCTTTGTTTTTATCTTGTTCAGCATCATTGAAATGTGTCCTCTGTTTTTCCTTTATGTTTTTATTCTTATACTTTCCATCTTCCTCCCATCCCTCCCTCCTCCCCTTATCATCCTCTTCTCCTCATCGATCCCCACGTACCAGATCTCTGACATCAACAACGGTAAAAGAAGTACTGGCAGAACCCTTACTGCATGTTTCAGCCTAACCAGTCATCCAAACACATGCTGTGATTGTCAGGGTCCATATAATTTCAGGACGAGTATTACAATAACTTAAAGATTAATTACTGTACACATAAATGTTTGGCACTGTTGAATTGAGACTTATACAGAGTAGTGATGTGGACCAAAATGACAGTTGCGCTGAGTGTTTGGATAAAATTAATCAAACTTACATTCTGAATAATGTGCTATACAAGAAGATCTACAGTAATACTCGCTAGCTCACAAATGCTAAAACTAACACAGCGCTTACTTATGCCAGGACTAGGTGCACTTTATTTTCCCCGTTTTATGTTTATTTTTTCTTGGCCACCCCATGTTTAATCCTCTTACTGCAGCTTGATTTTTAATGGGAGTGGTCAAAGGGTAAAGTACCTATATCCCACAATACCCTGTGCCTACCATTTACCTTTGACCCACTATTTCTCCTGTGTTTAATGATGTTTGTGTGTGTCCATGTATATGTGAATGTCCGTGTATATGTAAGTAATGTGTGTCCATCAGTGAATCATTAATTCTTTCCTCATTAACTCACACTGTTAACTCGTATTGTTAACCTGTTTAACAATGTCTTTCATCGTGTGTGTTAGCCAGGGGATGTTGGCCACGTTAAGGTGTGTGTTCATGCAAATCTCATGTGCATCTGGAACATCAAACAACCTCACATACTTACACTAACCACTAATTCCTCTAAGCATGAACATGTGCACGCGCACACACACATACACACTCAAAATATATGCACACTTGAATGTTCTGTACTTGTGAGAATCAATTATTGACCTGACCTATTGATTGTGTTCCTATGCTTAAACCTAACTAACCATAACCATGACCTGAATCTTGACCTGATGCTTTTATCTAACCCAGACCTGCCAACATGTACCCATTTTGCATAGGAGCTCCGCGTTTTGACTTGACATTGAAATACGCAGTTATGAGCTATGATTCTGTGATACAACAAAACTTTTTGGGAGAATTAAGCAGACAAGCCAGTCAAAAAATGAATTGGGAATCCTGGACAAGTGTGTAGTTTTTGAACTTTCAACGCCCCCTCTTCATGTTAGCAGCCTGGAGACAGCTTCTATCCGTTTTCACGTTAATGTGCTGATGCACTCTCATCTTCTTCCAAGGTAAACGAGGGCTGCATTTGGGTTCCCTAAACACACGGGCCTCCATCACACAAAAACTACATGCAGAAACACAGTTTGTGACACAAAAAGAAGGCGGTTTAGTGGTTCTGTTTAAACTACGTCTGCTTACAGGTTAATAATAACTGCTGCTAAAATGGATCCTTTTTCCCTCTGTATAGTTTTCCCCCCCTTAATTCTTAAGTGTAGGCCAGTAGAGAGTATGCCTCACTTCATTGTGTCTATGAGGCCTCCCAAGTGTAGACATACAAGTGTGTATACACACATACATTCGCTGGTCACTTTATTCCATTAACCATATTGTGTCTACACTTATTGTTCATTTTGTCAGGTCCACTTACCATCTAGGTGCACTTTGTAGTTCTACAGTTACAGACTATAGTTCATCTGTTTATCTGCATAATTTCTCAGCTCCCTTTTGCCCTGTTCTTCAGTGTTCAGCATCCCCACAGGAGCAGGTATTATTTGGGTGGTGGATCATTCTCTGCCCTGCAGTGGCACTGATGTGGTATGGACATGTTAATGGGTGTTGCACTGAGTGGAGTTTTTAAACTTACTGTCCACTCTATTTAGTCACACCTGCGTTCTGAGTACACCTTATATATATGAAGTTAAAAGATGAAAGCTCACCTGTTGCTGCACAGTTTATGTGTCATCGGTGTGACTTAAGTGCTGACAAAAATCCACCACCCATAATACCTGCTCTGTGATGTTCCTGCGGGGGTCCTGATTATTGAGTAACCAGGTAAAGAAAGACTATTTTCCCGAGAAACAGATGGACTACAATTGTAGAACTACAAAATTCACCTGTATAGTGAGTGTAATGGTGAGTGTACCTAATGAAGTGGCCAGTGATGTACATAACCACACCCAACCTGGGCAGTCACTGTTATGTATATGGCCTCAGGTTTGGCAGTATGAATTTGGCATGGCTTATTTCCCCCTGTATTCATTAATAGGAGTTTCTGTTGTTTGTGCATCAGTACTTTATTTTCTGGCTCATTCACAGTATTTTATTAACTTTTGATGAAGTATTTTCATCTTTCATGATGTTCTACCATACACTGGACTTTTGATTATCTGGCTATCTTGTCAGCAATGATGAGAAAATTAATGGGCTGCCTATCTTGTAAAAAGGCACAAAAATGCTGATTCCAAAAAAAAATAAAAAATAACATTTAGGAAATCCCATCAGTATCAGATACTACAAATGCTGTGAAAGTCAGAAAATAATTTTAAGTGATGATTATTATTGTTATTTTAAATACATTTGTTTTAATACAATCCAACCAGCTGAACGGAGACATTTTGTGCATGAAAGTTGCCAGTTGGTGACATCACTGCAAACCATAGCTTGTGTATGTAGTACCCGAATGTTCACACCACACGCCTTCCATATTCAGTGCATCTTAAACATCATAAACATATGAACATTTCTGTTCATGGATAAGTATAACTGATGTATGCATAGATATTATTGTCTGCATGTCCTCTGTGTTGCTTGTTTCAAGCCCACCAGTGTTCTTTGTAAACACGTCTCTGTTTGATTACTCATAATAATAAATAATATCTTCTGTCTTTTCTCGCTCCATCATATATGTTTTGCTCTGCTGTCCATTACTTTGTTTTCTGCCTCTGTAACACATTTGTATTTATTTATTTTTTTAAATCGCAGTCTTAAAAAATCTCCTTTTATCACAGCAGAGTAGACTTTAACATCTAAGGGGTTTCAGATTATGCTGCTCTCTAACTTGAGGTTGTATGAATGGCGCTGTGTTCTTTTGCAGTTTTACCTTTACTAATATGTTCTTTAATGACGTGATTTTGACAGATAAAGGCCTTTTTATGCTTCTAGTAAATTCAGAGTAATTGAGAGTAGGTCATCATTCTGGTAAAAATGTTTGCTAACCTTTAGTCTTTACAGCAGTGATTTGTGATTAGGTAAAGCTGTCAAATCCATTAGGCATTATAAATTAGGGCATATGAACTAGTCAACCATTCTGTGGTTGTTTCTGCTTTATATGGGCTGTGCTTTGTAACGAGTTGCATTGTGTAACAAGTAACACTGTGTCAGCAATGGCTGAACCTGAAAGTAGCTGAATTCATTAATTAGATGTCTGGACACTTTTGGATGTATAGTGTACTTCTGGACATCTCACATCTACAGAACCAGAGAAAGGAATTCAAAATACAACCACACTTGGAGAACGTGTAATATTATTTAAATTTAAAATATTATTTAAATAGGGGAAAATACCACTTTAACATCTTCTGTTGCCAAAGCAACTGCACATCTTTGAGAATCTTAAAGTAGTTTGAATTTGCAGATGCATAAAGAGGTCTTAAGCCCCACCTATCAGGATAGCACTCAGGCTTGTGTCTGCATCGTAGCCATGGTAACAGTGGGCAAATGCTTTCTGTTTCCAGGCTCTAAGTTGGGGTTGACGGACGTCCAGGCGGAGCTGGACCGAATTTCCAACAAATCGGACCTGGATTCCTCCGCAACCACGCCCCCTGCTGAAAACGACGAATCCTGAACAAGAAGCAGGATTACTCACTGTCACACCCCGCCCCTGTACTCTCCGCCCCCTCAAAATTTGCCTCCCTTCTTCCACCTGTCCTCTCTTCCTGACCTCTCCCCTGTCCATCTCACCACCACTCCTTCAGAGGGGAAGTTGAAATACTCCCCTTAAGGCCAGTGACTCCAGACTGCATGTTGGGCGGATTGCCTGGCTATGTCTGTTTCTGTATACACGTGCACACACAAACACAAACACACACACACTGCTCATGTATCTGTGTGAAGAGAGTGAGAAAGAGTGGTGCTGTTGGATTGGGTTAGTCAGATATGTAAAACAAGACAGTGAAAGTTAGCAGGTTCTAAGGGAAGCAGAGAGATTTAGGACTATGTTAAGTGTAGAGAGGAAGGATGGGGTTTGCGTTTCTGATGAATGTGAGGTTTTTTGTTTTGTTTTTTTGTTGCAGTAATATTTTAAGTGACGGGGTTAATCTGTCCCTTCATGATTGTTGTCCCTTGACGTTATAAACAAGCGCACATTTCTAGAATATCTAGATATCTTAAAAACAATCTGGACAAAGAAGGGAAGCGTCATGTTTTTGCCATAGAGAGCGGTGTGGCCTAGCCTGAGTGCTTTATGACATCAGAAAGCATAGGCGTGGTCACCATGTACAGCTGTTTTCATTGGATAGCCTTAGTACACTACACGTTTGCGCAGACACAAACAAATCTCCACTGGGCTTCCCTTTTTTTTTTTGGTTAATCATAGGACTTTCACAGAGGCTTTACTTTGTGACTATGCTATTGCCAGGTCAGTTATTTTGAAGTCTAATTTTTTTTTTGAAGCTAGTGTTTTGTTTACATGAACTTAAACAGGAATTTTTCATGACGATTCCTTTTTAGTGCTGCAAAGCTCAGCATTCTAATCCAGTCTTGGGACAGTTTATGAGGCTTTTGACTATGTGTTTACAGTACTAGAACATTCATAGCAATTAGAGCTTCCGAACACATTTCAACGGGTGATTGCCTGTTAAAGGCAATGTCGAGATTCTTGGCACCTTAACATACCTCCTAATATACCAAGCAAATCAAGTGGCAGGAGAACACCTGTGCATACCTTTAATTTCTCGATGACAGTAAAAACCTCTTAATGTTGCACTACGGGTGAGCGTTAGAACTCTGGCCAGTACACCAGAAGTCAATCAGAATACTAAATATAGTCAAGGCAGACAGCTTATTTAGGGTCATGTGGTGCATTTCCACTGTGGCACAGCAGAGGGCGTGCCTAGTTCATGAAGTAACTCTACAAATTATGGATGATCTATAGTGCACATGATTTTAGAACTGGCAACCATGTTTCTTGTACAAATGTACTTTTTTTTTGTTTTTATATTTTCTAATGAGCTTTGATACGTGAGTGATGTGTGTTTTCTCCCTTCGTTAGACTTCAGTCCTTTACTGACGGATGCACTACAACTCATGCAAATGTGATCAGTATTACTCTCTGTACACTAGCCCTGGTGTTTGTGTGTCTGCCTAACTCTGTGGGCGTGCGGTTGTGTGTGTTAAGAAAGAGGTGGTCTGTAGTGTAGTTGTAGTTCAGGTGGAAGCTAGGCGATGTTGTCTGTAGAGTCTAGAGAAAGTTACTGAAGTCAGTCAGAAGGGGGCGGGGAGGAGGAGGTAGATGTGGCAGGGCATGTGAGGTCAAAGGTCACCCTCTCCTGTGAGAATGTACAGTCATTCATGTTAAACTTTTGGGTGGACAGGGGAGCTAAAGGAGGAAAATTTAAAACAAAAAAAAAAAGGAAAAAAAAAACTACAATAACAAGGTCCTGTAATTTCACAAGATGTAGTGATGTTTCTCTGGATCAGGTCTGTAAGCATTCTATTAAAGTTGTATTTATTGGGAATGGCTGCTGACTCTTGTCCATTGGTTATTAGCCTAGAGAAATAAGAAACTTACTACACTTGTTTCACCAATAGTTTTCGGACATTATTAACTAGGTAAGTCAAAGTTAAACTTGTAGCATTGTCCCTCACTTAGCCAGTTATCTGGCTACTCTCCAGGATGCCACACAGAGTTCTTTGAGCGATATTGTACAACAGGGTGCTCTGACTTGGTCCTTCAGATCTAACACTCTGGATAGATAAGATCCAACACACCTGGCTCCAAAGACCTTCATCAACAGGATCAGGTGTGTTGGATTAAGGTTGGAGCTAAATTCTGGAGTGGTAGAAGAAACATTTTTGGTTCCCTGAATATCCATGTTTGAAAAATATTTTTGTGAATGTGAAGAACCTTTTAAAGGTTTGAAGAACCTTTACATAAAGGTTCCATACCAGTCAAAGTTATTCACACACCTCATTTACAAAAGTGGTTCTCTAAAGAACCTTCCATTAAAAGTTTTTTTTTTGTGGGAACCAGTAGTGCTTCTTCTATGGCATTGGAGAAAGAACTCCTTTTTGGCACTTCTTGAGAGTGTAACTGAGCAAACCTGCTTTATGAAATACTTCCAGCACAGGTTCACAATGCACATGTCCTGCACAGGTAATGAACGGGCCAAAATGTGAGCTACAGTCTGATCTTTCCATTACATTAACATCTAGGAAATCAAGATAAATGGCTCCAGAAATACTTAATGTCCAGACAGACTAGTTTTAAGTCTGGTTTAATGATTGGTAAATCTAACATGATCCTAATAGGGTTGGGCTGTGTGACAGTATTGATGTGATAAATATGTCACAGTACACTTTTGAGAGTTGTGGGTTTCGTCAGGACCTTGGAACACTGAACAAGTGCATATATCATAAAAGGACATATTTAGACCAATTATAAATAGCCTGCAAACAACAACCAGTCTACAGTAACATTAACTGCATAATCTACATAGTAACAAATACATCCTTAAACAGGTTATTCAAGGCTTATTTAATAAAAACAATAGTTGTATGCAGAACCATGACAACTCAAAAAAGCTATTTGAATTGCACAATTTGTGCTTGACTGAAAAAATGGCTTCTGAAAGCGTCTGAAATGTGACATATCCTTTCTGATAAGTACATAATTTTATTGTGTATTAACATGTTTCATTGGCTAACCTTATTAGAGGTCTTTGCATCATGCTGTTGTGAAACTAAGTTGATTGTATCTCCTTCACATAGAGACAAACAAGGAAATGAAGCAAACTAACTGTATTTGTTGTCTGCTGAGCAAAACAGCAAATATGAAACCATTAAACCGCACACCTGAAAAACAAACTGAGAATACAGATGCTGAAGTGCATGTTATCAGTGGAACAATCTGTATGTATTTGAAGTACGTTTGTAATAAATAGATCACTGATAAGACGTAGATCACAAGATAAGAATGAAGAAATATTCAGTAGCACCAAAGAGTTCATACAGTGACCTGTGTGTCTTTCCAGTTTTAACTAGAGGTCTATGATGGAGTTCACTGAAAGAAAAGTGGTTTTCCGCCAAATAAATGGAAATTTTTTAAAGGGACAAAAGGACTTTTCTGCAGGAGGGCGGGGAGTTAATGTTACAGGCCTTTACATCACAGCACTACAACTTGACCTGCTATAACCTCAGTAGTCACCACCACTGTTTTTCCTAATCCTTTCTAGTCAGACTCACTCTGCTCTGTCTCCTCCAAAACCATCTAGATCTTCATCCTCCAGTCCTTGGCTCTGTGGCATTTGCAGATCTGATAAAAAATGTTACACAGAGAGAGAGAAAGTGGAGGAAATCCGGTTGTCTCATGTATAGCACTGTGCAAAAGTCAGAAACCGCCTTTCATTTTTTTTCTACACTTCCAATCAAAATGATTAAGTACTCATTTTTTCATTGAAAAAAAAAACGAACATATATTTAATAGACAATTACAAAGAAGTGTCAGCAACTAAATATATCCTTTTTTGGTATTTAGTGTGTCTACCCATCATCTCTATTACAGCTTCCATTCTTTTTTAGTTTTTCAAAGAAATCTGCAGGGACATTTTTCCCCACTTCCAAAGTTCAGTCTTAGAAGTTGGTTGCATTTCTCATTAACCAAGTAATACCGAACACATACACTGATGTTGAGATCTGAACTCAAAACATTCTGCATAATTCAATGGTTGAGATGTAAATAGTACTTCCAAGTGGTTTCTTTGGAAATGGCTCGTTTTAGAGAAACCCTTGCTTTACAGTGGTGGTGATAGGAACCAGGGGTTTGTGATGTTTGTGACTAATATAGCCATTTTTTTTACTAAACAAAATGACAAGTTAATCCATGTGTCTTCTGAGTTTATATATGTAAGATTTATGTCGCAATAGTGCTAAATCTGGAAAAATGAAATGTTCTTTGGGTACTGTTTGGCCTTTACACACCGTGCATGCACATCGCCACCATGAATTGATTTAAAACAAAATGCATTTAAGGCCGAAGGATTATCTCAAAACTAGAGTAAAAGGTCTCAGGCAGTGTATTCATAACCATTGTGTATAATAACTTTCTGTGAGGGAGCTTTTAGAGGCATTAGACTCTTCAGATGTTTGGTTCCCATCACCACCACTGTGCATAATTCTGAATGGAGAGTTGCATATCAAACTACCCTCAATGACTTTGTTTAGATCTTATTAATGTACTTATGCAGAAATTTTAAAATGTTGCAATTCTCTTATAATGACATACTTTGAACAGTAAGTCAACAGCATTCGCAAGAATTTGAATCATCCAGCAAAAGGTGGAGACAACAGACATATGATCCAAGCCCAACTCTGCTAAATTTCATTCTGGTTGACATCTCGCAATCTGCCCACTGGACACAAACCCACCCACACTCCTCCAAATGATCTCTATAATTTTGCCAAATTTCTGATCAGCTCATCACTAACAATTTGTCAGCTTCTACCTTCAGATTATCTCAGGCTACACCACTTATCATGAAATCACAGTGTTTTTAAAAAGTATTCACCTCATTGGAAGTTTACATGTTTCATTGTCATAGAATATTGAATCACAGTGGATTTATATACATTTATTTTTTTAACCCTGATCAGCAGAAACAGACTCTTTCTTGTCAAAGTGAAAACAGACCTCTGTGAAATAATTTAAAAGATTACAAATATACTGCACAAAGTATCTGACTGATTATTCCAGTGTGGCTTTGAATGTATGTTTGGGGTCATAGCAGTGCTGGATGACAAATCTCCCAAGGCTCAGGTTTCTTGCAGACTGCATTAAGTTTTCCTTCAGGATTTCTGAATTTTGTTGCATTTACTGTACCCTGTACCCTCACAAGCCTTCCGGGGCCTGCTGCAGAGAAGCGTTCTTACAGCATGATGCTGCCACCACTATACTTCATGGTGCGGATTGTGTGCAGTCGTGTTTAGTCTGATGTCCAAAAAGCTTAATTTTGGGTCACATCAGATAATAGAACTTTCTTCCAGCTGACTAAAGATTCTTCTGCCTTCTGGCAAACTGCAGTCAAGAGGTCATGTGACCTGTTTAAAAGTTGCTTTCTTTTTGCTGCTTTCCTGTAAAGCACACTGGCAACAGTTGTTGTATGCATCACTTGGCAGAGATCTGTTTTTTTACTTTGACATGAAAGAGCCTGTTTTTGACGATTGGTTTAAAAACATCCACAGTTATTTAATGTTCTTTGATTATGAAAACTTCCAAGGGAGTGAATGCATTTTATAGGCATTGTATATTAGGCTGCCCTGGCACAGGTATCTTGCCCTTCTTCACAGGGCAGCAGGGTGTTGGGTGCCCAAGCCTCATCGATGTGCGAGTATATGCCATCTGGTACAAACTGACAGAATAGGGTTTCACAAGTCACTGAAATGTGTACCTGCTGTGTATGAGGCTGCTTAGCCCTAGACCAGCATGCTCATGCTGGCCCCTGTCTACTGCTGAAAGCACCAACAATGGGCACATAAGTTTTGGAACTGGACCTTGGAGCATTACTCAGACAGCAAGGTAGGTTTGTGTCATTTACCGGAGGAAGTGATGGCACCAGGATGCATTGTAGGAAGAAGACAAGCTGGTGGAGGGAGTGTTATCCTCTGGCCGCTGCTGGGAATCCCTGGGTCTGGCCATTCACATAAGTTTGACATGTGTTACCTACCTAAACTTCACTGCAGACCAAGTACACCCCATCATGGTGATGGTATTCTATGATGGCAGTGCCCTCTTTCAGCATGATAATATGTCCTGCCACACTGCACACATTGTTCAGGAATGGTTTGAGAAGCATGATGAAGAACCCAAAGTGCTGGCCTCCAAATTCCCCACATCTCAATCTCAATGAGCATCTGTGGGATATGGTACAAGAAGTCATATTAGGCAGATGGTCATACTGTTTTGGCTTGTGGGTGTGCAGTTTATTCTATGGTTATAGACCGAGACGGCCTACTTAAATCAACATTCTTTATGTCACTGCTAGAGATGGATCTTAACTACTTACATAGACTCTACAGACATTTTTGCCAAAAAATATTAGTTACTAACAATAAGAAAATTTACTGAAGTCAGCTTGAGTGATGTAAAACACATTGCTATCTGACCCTGGAGCAGGGGAATCATGCTTCACCATCTGGCAGTCTGACAGATGAATCTACGTTTGGCAGATGCCAGAAGATCGCTACTTGCCCAATGATATAATTCCAACTTTAAGGTTTGGTGGAGCAGGAATAATGGTCTGGGGCTGTTTTTCTTGGTTTGGGCTGGACCCCTTAGTTCCAGTGTTTGTAGCAACAGTTTGTGAAATGCCCTTCCTTCACATGGGGAGATCCATAAACAAATGGTTTGCTGTAAAAGAACTGAGTTTGGTGTAAAAGAACTTGACTGGCCTGCACAGATCCTTGACTTCTACACCATCTTTTGGATGAATTTGAACACTGGCTGTAAGGCAGACTTTATTGCCCGA